TTGCTACATGAGTTTCTGAGACCTCTATCTCATCAACAATATATATACTTGCCATAATTTCAAAATGTTATGGACAAAACTCTTCTTTGGCCTAAAATTAACAACGTTGTTAACAAAAAATTGCCAAAAACACCCAATGTATCAAATGCGATACAAAAAATGATGAAACGTTTCTCCCACTGAAAACGCTACATCCAGATGAACAGAATCAACCTTTTGGGATTTACTTACCTGTATGATTGAGCATGCATAAAGACAAGGGTTAATAAACATCTCAGTTACAAAAATTTTCTGGCTATTTTTTGATGGCTGGGTCTTACAGGGTTAAGCATTTGTAGAGACATCTTCTCATCTTTAGGGTGAGTTTAGTTGCACCGTGGTCTGCTGAAACTGATGAAAAGTGTTTTAGATTCGTCAGGTTTTTCTAACACTGAATTACTAAAGTTCATCTCTGCCTGACACTGATTTACAACATGACACGTTTGAGATAATGTTATGTGTGTTCCATTGTGAAGGGCTTTTCACAGCAGGAGCACGGCCGTCACTACTGATGGGAACAGCAAGGTCAGACCCAGGTACTCAAATAGCTGCTGGTGATTCTCCCCCTCCAAACATGACTGAGTGAAAGACAAAGGCTGTATACAGTTATTTCCGAAAAATTGATTCTTTTTCCACAACATTTCCACATTCAAATGCTTCTTCAATCAAATTTACAATTATGTCCCAGCGAACAAAGAAGGGGCCTTGAGTCTCTTGACCTTGGAGGTCTTGGTTTTGTTCCGCTGGCAGAGACACTTGAAAAGATTTTTCGTGGATATCCAACAAAATATACAATAATTCATTTTCTCGAAAATAATTTAGAAATCATCGTGGCGAGAAAGTGAAAGAAGGATTATGAGAGCAATCATGAGTTCCACTTCTCATAAAAAGAAAAATTCTAATTCAAATAATTCACACTGGAGAGGTGACACAGACGTTTCGAACACAAATCTCTGAGAGAACATCCACACAGTCACTTGTGTGCACAGCCTGCGCAAAGATAGCTTCAGCTTTAAGCTCGGTGACTGGATGTTTACGTGAAGACTTTACCTTTGGCTTTGTATTTAAAGAAGTAGATATATTCTATGATCATTTAACCAGGAGACTTTTCATGCCGATCCAAACTATCGAAGTGATCCAACTGTGAGTCATGTGGCATTGCAAGAAAGAAATATATTGAACATTTACTTCTAGATACAGGCCCACTCAAATTCACCCTCTGCTTTGCATCTCAGTGGCAAAGTTACCTGACAGCGTTAACCTATGTGGGAATGGAGAGTGCAAACTAGAGGAAGCTACTGTAACTCGTTAACTGTGTGTCACCGACATTTTTGTTTTATTCACAATGTGTAAACAGCTTCATAAACAGGGGGCGCTTTGAGGACACTTATGAGACAATAACACATCGGCTTATTTTTAATAAACTGTGTGAACTCGAAATTCCATTAACAAACAAGCCAACAGGTCTGCTTTAGTAAGCAGCCCACAAAATCATTAGCCCAGGGAGTTTTTCTTTTTTGTTTGTTTGCTTTTTTATGTCCTTTGCATAAATTCTTAATGGAATAAAAAGGAGGCGGATATGGATAGGATTTTATTGATGCCAATGCCATTATTCGTTTCAATTCTTTATTAAGAATTGAAAAGGGAGAGCATACAAGGCTTCCTGCAGAAACATCACTGCTGTTTCAGAACTATAGTCATTTATAAACACAGTTCCCAATTTTTAGAGGTTCTAGTAAATGCAGTTTTTTTCTTCGCCGCAGCAGATCAGCTGACTCCATCTTACCTCATCCTCCTTTTGTCATACCAACCATCTGTGTGTCCTCCTGCACTACATCTTCTGTGTAATCTGCCTTTATCTAATCATCCTTTATCTAATATATGAACTGCCCATCTCAGCTATTCCTTTAACTTTGTTTCCAAACTGCTTAACCTGAGCTGACCCTCTGACATACTCATTTCCAATCCTGTTCGTCCACTGGTCATTCCCAATGAAAATCTTATGTTAACCCTTTAAAACTTGAACCATGGAATAACTGCCAGAAATCTTTAATTTTTTCATAATGAAGTGTTTGTTGAACCTTTAGACAAAATGTATAAAAAAAAATATATCAAATTTTAATTTGCATGTATAAGTTTTAATTTGTATCACATTTGCTACATTAACCATATTTTTGCAATTTAGCTATTAAAAATCTGTCAAATTTATATCATTTTTTGATGATGCAGAAGTCTCAAAAACTCACAAAAACACGTATCAAATACGATATGCTTGGCTTTAAAGGGTTAATCCGCTTGAATTAAAGATGAGAGTATGCACTTTCAAGTCTTTATTTTTTGACAACAAAATAGAGACCTATGACTTTAAATTAAAATTACGTAAAGATTAAATTTAATTAAAAAAAATATGGCACCTAGGCAGCTGATCCATCCCTGACAGTGTTATACATTCAGCATTTGTATTATTATTAATAATAGTTTGGGGAGAAAGTAGCATGAAATGGGATTTTTACAACATTCACATGCACAGATGTACTTTGAATATTTAGCTCACTGAAGCTTGACTATACACAGCACATTCTCTGGCTTTATGCTGATCATTTGCATCTGCAGTTGCTTTTTTCATAATCTCTATAAAAAGATATCTGCATACGAATATTTAGAACTGAGCAACAGAGTACAGAAAGTTTTCTGGTTTCTGTTTATACTCTGAGTTGACCAAACATGTTTAAGAAGGCTAATGAAGCTTTATTTTAATAAGTGCTTTTTTCATAATGTATCTACATTTGTTAACAGTGACTGTTGGTTAAAACACAAATCATTTGCCCAAATATCCTGCTGATAGACCAGAAGACCTGAAATATTGGACAATGCCTCCAGAGACCAAACGATGTTTTCTTCATAATATGATGCACTGGAGTTGTATTTCACAGCTCTTTATTAAAATTTTCATCATGCTAAAGTAACCCGAAGCTCCTTTTAGTTCATAAATTCACTTCAGGTATTAATGGCTAAAGTTGGAGTCTCGGTCTGTCAACAGAAAATCCGCACAACTTTGCTGCCTAGTGAAAAATTTCAAAGGAAAGTGGTTCTTAGCACATTACACGCCATCCTCTCCCAGCTCTGCAAACTCCATTGCCATGGAAACATATTGACATGCACGACATTTGGCACGCAACCATTTGTCAGAGCTTGGTGATGACACAAATCTCACACAATGGCAGCTACTACTCAGGTTAGGGTAGTGATGTCCTCAGGTTGTCAAATGGACTGATGCCCCAAATGCCTGACAGGTAAAGACAGATTCATCTGCATTCACAGATCTACAGCTTTTAGTCCAGACAGCAAATATTTCAGTCCGTTTTCAGATTTAAAAAAAACACACGGTGTCACCATGCTCTTTTGTGTTGTAAAACTGTCCAAAACAAAACCAGATCATATTTTTTTTCCATTTGTTCCATTGGCAGAACAAATATTATGAATATCTGCTTTTTTCCATGTGCATTGCACCTGAAATCTGTTAATGACAAGCTCTCAGCATGTTCTGTTTTTAAGCAGCATTAATATGTTAAACACTTGTCACCCTATTGTCTATTAGAGCGGGCTGATTTGTGTCAGGGTTCAGCTCCATTTGGTTGTTGGATGCTTGCTTGATTTTACCATTTAATCATTTTTAACAGTGCAACCTTGTGATCTCTCGTTGTTCAGCCACAAAGATCAAAAAGCGGCTTTCATAAGCGAGGATTTAATGATAAAGCAAATGAAAGCCTAACACCAAATGTGCTTTTTAGAATTCAGGCTTATTTTAGTTTAATGACACTGTCTACATCTTTCACTATCTAGCAATTGCACTGTGGTATATTGCAAGGCTACTGTCTGTAATGGTCTCAACTGATTCATTATCTGTATAGTACTTTATCCATGTAGCTAAATTAATCAGTTTGCAAAGCCTGACTTGACTTATGAACCCTCTCCTCAGAAAAATTTGAAACTAACTGAAACTCTAAGCGATTTATTGTTGACTTTTAAGGTGCAGCAAGCTCAATTAAAACTGAAAGAGACAGGCCATGTAACACTTTGTAAGTCAGAGGAAGGACGTTAAAATTGATCTGTTTTTTTATGGAGAGCATATAGTGACACAAGGACAGAGGTGACGTGCTCACATCTCTAATCTCTTGTCAATATTCTCTCAGGACACTTTGTGTGTCTTGTTGATTTAATGCAGCATACAAAGACAGACAAGTACAATTTTACATCAGATGATGCTGAGTGATAAATGTATGAAGCCTAAATCCTGTTATACCAAATCAAAACAGCCATTCAGCTCACAAGAGATGCAGGTAAAATTAGTGAAATTAAAGTAGAGGTCTGTAAGTAGGTGTGGAATGTTTTTGCCTACCAGATCCAGAAATAAGTTGAATTTTTTTTAATATATTTGTTTATTTTTTTTTTAAAGCTGCAAGTAGTGAAGACAGTGCTGGATTCAAGAATGATAGCAACAACATAAAAGTCCCATCAATGACTTATGTGAAAGATCATAGTACCATGAGTCAAATTCAGCCCACCTGTGCAATGAGATTATGATGAGTCACCACATTACAGTGAAACCTGCAGCCGGAGTGGACAGGGAGATACCAGGGAAGTGAAACTCCTGCTTGGTGACAGATGCAGCGATGTACTTCCATCATAGAGTAATTTAAAACTGTGAAATCATCAGAAATATGTTTGGGGATAATTATTTAAGGAGTTTGTTTCTGGATCAGAGGAAAGTACCGGAGGAACTATCAATATATGTTCAGTGTCTGTTCAGTTTTCATCATTAATACGGTCATTTCTTGAATGTATACTTTGCTTTGTGGTTATTTAATGAGGAAATAGAGGAATGAAAGCTTTAGGGAATTTACGCAGCGACCGTTAATTATAACTTCTAGCACACGTGCGTGCGTAAAGTGGATGGCTGGGCGCGCACACAAGCAGCATATCACTGCGGAACAGATATTGTCAGACGCGTTATTTGGAGTGGGAGTGAAGGCTATGGACGATTTATCGACTGATCCCCTCACGCACTGGATGGTCTACTTTTTTCTGATCCACGAGCTTTTAATAAAGTCTACCTGAAAATGAGACGCATAGAAAACAATCGGTGATTTTCGTGTTTTTCAGGTTTTTTTGTGGGGGGGTTTCTTCAAAAGAAGATTTAGACTTTAAAGGGATTCTGCTTTTTTGTTTGTGTTTCACTTGGATATGGCACATCTTTGGATCCAGTAAGCGAATTTTACAGCGTCAGACGCGTCTGCAGCGGGGGAGAGCAGTGGAGGGACACGGAAACTTGTGTGGTGCAGGAGACGGTCTCTGAATCTGCGCTGCCACAGTTGTCACAGACAGAGAAGAGCCATGGTTACTTCACTCCTACTGATGCTCAGCTGGACTGTGATCTCTGAGGTTGTGAGAGCTCAGAATGACACGGAACCGATCGTCCTGGAGGGCAAATGTCTCGTGGTCTGCGACTCTAATCCGGCAACGGACTGGAAGGCTTCATCCTCTCCGCTCGGCATCTCGGTGCGCGCCGCCAACTCCAAGGTGGCTTTCTCTGCAGTCCGGAGCAACAACCACGAACCGTCGGAAATGAGCAACAAAACAAGAATAATCTACTTCGATCAGGTTAGGACCGTTTTTTGGTTTTTATTTTTATTTTTTAATGAACAACACTAATGACAAAAGTGGTTAAATATATATTAATAGCACTTTCAAAATCTTTCCTGTCTTTTTCATAAAATTTCCCTATGAACGAAGGTACTTGGGTCTATTGTTTTAGTACAAATATTTATCTTTAAGCCCAGTTTTGACTTTGACAGAACATGTTTGCAGCTTTAAGTATAGCTGCAGCTCAGTTTAGTTTGAAGCTGGTTTCTGGTGGCATCGGCTGGCATGTGGACACCGTCCAAGTGCACATAATCACACGCAAGCAGGCTTGAAAGTGACTGGATTATGTTTGAGGGCGGGCATCCTGCAGAGCCTGAACACGCACCCATCATTTTGCCTCAAGCTACCCCCGCCACGCACGCGCGCACTCGACTACGCGCGCCATCCACACATTCACCTACATAAATACACCCAAACAAATCAAGCAGCAGCGAAAACAACAAGAACTCGATTAGTCATGCATCGGTGGGCAGTGTAAGGTGTTTGTAACCATATCACACAACTGATCCTCTGCCCTCTCATTTACATGACATTACATAACGTGATCTTTTGGTGTCATACTGCACTACCAGAGATATGATTGGTGTGGATCATGCATGCTGTTGCCATGAAAGCAACCCATGTCAAAGGTCCTGGCTGAGTCTTAACAGGTGGAATTCAAGTGTATGAGATTCTGCAGGAGCCTTTCATGCCTACAGCGATAACCCAGTCAAGTTCACATTCCATATTATTTTAAATATTCTATGTTTATATGACCGTAGGATGAAAATATCTCCTTCATATACCAGTGTGCTCATTTTGAATTGTTTTTAACATACAGAAGTAGCCAATGTTATTTCTACTGTTTGTATCATATTAGAAATAGTTTCTCAGTCACTTTAAACCTGAACAAAAGAAATTCTCTTGTTTTTGTTGCTGCAAAGTGGAATTAATCTATAAAATCTGTTGTTGGGTTCCGGCTATCATCTAGTTTACGCATCACTTGTTTTTTTGTGGAGTTGGAAATTCACTTGCTAGGTTTAGGTCTCTCGAGAAGGAAGCCTGAATTAAATGTTTTTTGAAGTGTGTCACACTCACTTTGTGTCTGATCAGGAAAGCGACCTGGTAGCCACAACAGGGAAGTGTGCTTGGCTGATGTCCTATTTAAATATTTAATCCCAAAGCCCATTTGAAATTAAAACCTTTATTGAAGTGCTGAGTATATAAACACCTTTGTCACATTCTTTGTTTCCTCCCTCCTTTCACAGGTTCTTGTGAATATAGGAAACTACTTCACATTTGAATCAGTATTTCTGTCCCCGAGGAAAGGAGTCTACAGTTTTAACTTCCACGTGATTAAAGTGTACCAGAGCCAAACCATACAGGTATCACTTTATGTTCATTTTACACATCTGTGCAGTTGACTCAATTGTAAAACCCCATTTCAGTGTCTGGCTGGGACAAAATATCTTTCTCTGGGACAATAAAGAAATTATTTGCGCAGGGAAGAACACCTTACTTCTGGAAAAGGGAAAACAATGAATTGCATTATTATTCCAATTTATTATTCGGACACTACCACTGACTCCAAATCCCATCACACAAAATCTCAATAGAAAAGCACTGGCACCAACTAATACTACGAACAACTACTAATGAAGGCAAGGTGGACCTAAAATTCATTTTAAGATAATTATTTCTATTTACTTATTTATTTAATAGATTTTTGCATGTAATCTGCAATAGAAAACATTCAGCGACATTTGAAAAAAAAAATGCTGTCTCACTATCAAAACCTCATTGATTGGATTAATTGTTTTATTCCATGAATCACCACCACCACATTTCCACACCCACACACATTAAACAAAAAGCACAAACACCTCATACTGATATGACTTGAAAAAATGTGTTAGGTTAAAGGTTTGAATAAACCTGCTCGATGCCAAGGTTATATTTTCAGTGACTAACTAACAAGAATTTCATTTGAATTTAAAATGACCATGTTGAAATATAATGGCTTAAAATACAATTACCTCTGCAAATATTTAATTGTACAAATGCCAAAGTTCATCCGCCTTGAAAAGAATATTAAGTAGCTAAAGTGAAAAAAAAAATGAACTAGGAAGGTAACACACAGTAGTTGGTGATATGCATCATTGCTGCTCTTGGTTTTCTCAGATACACGTGCTACATTCCCATGTCAGTGCATTTGTTTCACTAGTATCATGAGCCTTTGTATTGCCTCAGTTTGAAGCTTCTTAATAAGTAATTTGCTGTCAAATTCTGATTTTAGGTTAATCTGGATCACACTATCTCACCTAGTGATTCCTCCATTAAAGTATTATGATGAAGATGATTTTATGGGAGAGATTTTATCCCCATCAGCACACATGATTTTCTTTGGTGCGATAACAATTTTTTGGAGGATTCTGATAGGCAAAATTCATGTGTCTATGAGCACATCTGTAACCAATTTGCTTGATGTTCCTTTGCCCCCAGCGATGCTGCTTAGAACAGAAAACAGGAAACTAGTGCAGCATTTCTTCCCCCTTACAATTTTGGTTGTTTGAGAGTTAGTAACACCCGAGTTTGCATTACTGGCAAGCCAGCGTTCTTGTAAAAGCAAAAGAAAAATTAATGTTGCTAAAAGTTTTGTTTTTCTAATTTGAACATTTTTAATGTTTTACTCCTTTATTTCATTACTTTGAAGAGTAATTGTCTCTTTTTGAGTTTTGGTGGGGTATTTGATACCTTTTACTTTTTCAATAGAGCACTACAGAGAATTTTCCTTATATAAAGTGCTTTGCCAGTTGTCAGTGTATGGATGAGTAGTAACGTATCTTCTCTCAGAGCCTGTAGACTGCTTTTATGTCAGAACAATATGATGTTAATTCAGGCTCTCTGATGCCTCATTTAATAAGTCTTCCACTCCAATAAAGTGACAACAGTGAGCAACAATAGCAAATGTTACCTTGGAAATGAAGTCTACTAATCATCAACTAGCGCAAAACAGACTCAACTAAATTGTAGCTAGCAGACTGTAGCGTCCTTGCTTATTGAAACTGTTGCTTGAAAACTTCCTCACGAAATAACGAACTAGCGTTTACATTTAAGTAGAAACGCTAGTTGGCTAGCTTCTAAAATGATCTCGTCACTTAACAAATTAGTATTTTAATCAGGTTCACTTATACATTATATCAAAGCTGTGCAATATTACGTTGACGCAAAGTACAGATAAGCTATACAGATAAAAGTATTGGACCAGACCTCTTAATAGTGTTTTCACTGCCATTGTCACAAGTGTATACAATCAAACGCATAGCCGTGCAGTCTGCCTTTACAAACATTTGCCAAAGAATGAGTCGTTCTACAGAATTCACTGAATTTGAATACTGCGATAGGATGCCGCTGTGGAAAAAGGTAAGTTTGTGAAAAAATTTCCCTCCAAGATATTCCACAATCATCTTTAAGTGGCATTATTAAAAAGTGGAAGCATTTAGGAATCACAACAAACCATTTAAATGACTGAGTTATAATGGTGCCTAAAAGCCACCAACACACTGACTCAGTAACTGCAGAGTTTCAAACCTCGTCTGGCATTAAAATCTGCTGGGCATCCGTGGGGCATCTTTCTTCGCCTTTAGACAATAATTCTGATGGCAAAAGAGCCAAACGGGACAGCCAAAAGGGAAAAAAAAAAAAAATCTGCTGGGAGCTTTGTGGTATGGGTTTCCAGGGCTGAGCCGCTCCTGTAGGTGTAATGTGTAGGTAGCCCTCTAATCTCACTAATCAGCATATATCTGCCATAATTAGCATCTTCATATTTAAAGACGATTGACCACAGACAATCAATGACATTCAGTGGCATTGAGTGATAATTGGTGAAAGAACTGCTGTCAGTGCAAAGCAGACCAGTCCCAAGCTAAACTCTAGAAGAAAGTCAGCTTTTAAATAAAGTTAACTTTATTTAACTTTGCAACAGTTCCTTGATGGTTGCAGCAACTACCATTAACACAAAAATGATAGTACTGATTGACACATGACGAGGTGCTAAAAACATTAGAGGATAAAGCGATCCAAAAGGCAAAGTGCTCCTAAAGTCAATTTTGCACTGTTTGTTAGCCACTGTAGCTACCTTATAAAACACATGCAGATATAATATCGTGTACATCTCAATGTTGCCTTTAAAAAATATTCACTGCTGCAAAAGGGGTAAAAAAAAAAAGGAGAAAAGACTTTATATTCCTCCCTCTTCCACTCTGTACACAGTAAGTGCACTTAAGTGTTTGTATAGTGGGTTTAACATTACCGTCTCCATGTAAGAGGTCAAGTGACATAATTACAAATAAGAAATAAACTATGCTGACCCACATCTTAGATTCCGTTTTTCCTGCTGTACTCTTGCTAATTGTTACTTCTGTTGGATCATCCAGGTGAACTTGATGTTGAATGGGAAACCAGTCATCTCTGCCTTTGCGGGTGACAAAGATGTAACTCGCGAGGCAGCCACTAATGGAGTTCTGCTCTATCTTGAAAAAGAGGACAAAGTCTACCTAAAGCTGGAGAAAGGAAACCTAGTTGGTGGATGGCAATACTCAACATTTTCTGGCTTTCTTGTGTTTCCTCTGTAAAAAAGAAAAAAACAAAAGAAAAAAGAAAAAAAAAGAAAAGAAGATTGTAAGCTTACTGACTTCTTCATAATGTGTTGTCACAGTATAATCAAAACATTGCTGCTGCATCAGTTGGATCTTGCCAAAATGTTGAAAAATGATAGATGGAAATGGATCCCAACATAGAGAGGAAAATAAGACTTTGGAAATGGTTCACGTTCGCTGGAAGTGCTGTGTCCCCGTCCAGATGAAAGAAAGACTTGAAATGTTCCCGATCGCTACTGTATGTTCCTGTCACTCAAGCAGCCTCAGAGAGGAACACTAAAACATCTCAAAAGTACTTTTCAGACTTTCACTTGTCGGAATATGTTTAGCATACTGATGTTTTTTCCCATGACAGCGGTTGCATTCAAAGACATCTGCCTTTTGAGAGTAAACCGTATGCCTGTTACCTGTGTAGCTTGTCATCAACCAAGTATTTGTATTGCTAAGTAATGGGGAATGTCTTTTCTGGACCTAATTGTTCCAGGATACGTGAGGGATAGCAGTAATGTAGGTCACCGATTGCCTAAAACAATGCTATTGGAAATTCCTTAATCAAACAAAGTAATTTAAAATTGATTTAAAAATTGCTGAAGTGGCCACAAGCCACATCACCTCGCAGGCTTAACCTTCAGAATTTTACTAAGCGAGGCCCACGAACACAGAAAATTACCACAAAGGGCTTTAAATTACCATGAAGAGAAAAAGATCAAATGATCCACAAAGACATGCAGCTAAACCACAGTAGCACAAAAAGATACAAAATGAGCACAAAACATACAAATAAACAAAAACAAACTGATTGAAAGGACACACAAAGAAAATGTGAGGAGTCTGCTTTCAGTCGGATCTCATTCCTGGCACATTGACGCTCAAGTTGTGAGATAAGTACAGGGTGTCCTTTGGTGTAGTGACGCATCAGGTCACAGGGGCTTGTTTAAAAGTGAAACCATGATGTTTTTCTATACCTAACTGAGTTTTGGTAGCTAAACTCAATCGATCAACAAACGAAAACAGAATAAAACACATTTGTCAGGGAAATATGATTCATGCCAACTGTTTTAATAGGACACTTTCTTCTCCGTGTTCAGTTACGCCGGGCAGTCAGACTTATTTCAGGTAGGAATTTGGCTTTCAACCACAATGAAAGCAAGACAAATCTAATAAAACAATTCTTTTGCATTAATCTTTTTGCTGTGAAGCTCTCCTTTTGTTTGGTGGTATTTTGCTTTTGACCCTCTGTAGAAGCCAAAAGTTTCGTGCTGTTTATTTCAGCACAAGCTTAAATTAAGAAACGAGAGCTTTTAGTCAACAATAGGAAGAAGTAAAAGTCCTTAAAGGTTTCTTTAGGTGAGTCAGCAGAAGGACCATTAATGATTGCTTTCAGCTGCTTTTGTCTCCAAGGCTCTCTCAACCAATCTGCTTTCAGCAGTGTGCAGCCGAGGTGGCGGTTGATTGCTCCAGCTTTCCATCACTCTTCCTGTGATTACCGCGCAGATCTCAGAAGGCGCAGAAATCCTCTGCTGCCTGGGCCTTTTGTTGTGCCCTGTGTGTAACTTCTTATATCTTGTGATGGAAGCTTCTGGCCGGTTGCCTTTACAAGAAAGGCTTTATGGTCAAAAACACTCCCTATTCTGTCCTGTACGAGATCCTGGTATCCCGAACCAACTCTATGCCTTTATTTTTTGTCTTTTATTTGAATTTTAAATAAAGGACTATTTTTTTAAGTAAATGCATGATGTTTGTTAAGTTGACCATGCTAAATAGTCAAGATAACATAATAGCATAATCAAGCAGTACAGTTTTGCCTCATCCAATGCGTCAAGGCACCACTGCTAACCCAGAGTTAATGGAGAACCAAAGCAGAGCAAAAAGCAAGAAAGATGGTAGACTTAACTATGTCAGGTGGCCAGAAGCATGACTTTAAATGAGGACTAGTGCTGCGCTCGATTTGCTTAATTGTTTAATTAACTGGCAACTGTGTGCCAAAAAGCTCACGAAATCAACTACGATGACGGCATAGGTCAGTGTTATGTTTACAGTGTGTTTGTTTTTCTGCCCAGAGGGCAAAAAAGAAAATAAGAAAAAAATAGAAAAAAAAAGAAAAAAAAAGAAATTAGATACTGCAGTAAGGGAAAGATTATGGCTTTGGTCAAATGTGAATAAAGTACATCGTGCTTCATGTCTCTGTTGCCTTTTTTCTATAGTGAACAAAGACCATAATCTCTCCCTGACCTTAACCAAATGCTGAGTGCCTCCACACAACCATGGAAAGTGTTAAGAATGAATCGGTGGCGACTGCAGATATTGTACTGTAAGAGCGCATAGTACTCGAAAACAAATATGTTTCTGAACCTGCAGATAATTGGATTTGTGTTAAAATGCACTCGTTCAAAATTCAAAGCGTAAAAAACAAAATTCCTACATGTGCTCTCCTAATAGATCTTACACAAGTCAACTGGTTTATGGACCTTAATAAAGTTTAATGGGCATCTGAGAACCTTAATTAGTTAACATGCTGATAATAAACAGATTCCTGTCACAGTCTGTGAGCATAAGTCGTTTCCATTGGGTGGCCTGGGATAACTGATGAATTAATAAACTCCTTAATTGTTACTCCAGCTCAATGTGCACTTACAGTATATAATGGTTCCCCTCTTCATCTCTACAGTAGTTACAGCCCTTGCTGCAGTGTGTGCTGCTGGTGCAGTGTGCATCTGCGCTGTTAAAAATCAACCCTAGGAGAGCCTATTTCCATCATTATTTCGTCCTGAAATGAAAAGCTACACCCTCATCAGCTTAAGCCTCTCTGAAGTGTTCTAGATGTCCACTTTCACTCTTCGAGCGTACGTTTCTGCCTGTTGGTTGTTCACGTATTATTTGTCAGTGATTGATAACTTTCCCTTGGCATCACTGTCACATTTTGTAACCAGAAAGGGAACATTGAAGAGGACAATTTTTGATCTTTCAGTTAAAGCTAAGAATGAAATAAAAAAAATGTTCAACACAACAAGGCTCCTGAAAATTGACAGTTACAGTTGTGTAACTGCCATGCCGACAGTTGCACAAGAAAATAATGCCGAAATTAATACTGCAAATATATTCACCGAGAGAGTTCTGTTTAAAAGTTTTTTAAAAGTGCAAGACTGGCAGCATTTATTAAATTCCACTATGTATATTTATTTTGCTGAATTGAAATGATATTTCTGGTGTCTAAATTACATTTGTGTTTGCTCACATTGGTGGAATCATAATGACTGTGGAAGCTGGACTGTGCCCCTGAAATGCTTAAAGCATCAGTTGGTGATAATTTTACTCCTTAATTTTGTATTTGAACATATAAATGTAAATCTATGTGTTCAAAAGTTTTATCCTGATCATCTTTTTTTTAATCAATGTATTAATTGTATACATTAATGTATAATTAATGTATTGACGAATCTGCCGTTAAATAACAAATAAAAATTGTGGGTTTTTTTAAAAGACGTAGCATTATTACGTTTTAGTTTTCTCAAAAAAACTGGAAAAATCTGAGTTTATGCTGCTGTTGCTTGTGATGGAGTTCTGCTTTAAGAAGTCCAAATCTATGGATGCGATGGAAACACACAGAAGATAAGAACAGTAATAGCACTCACTGTGTATAAAAGATGTGATATTGCCAATTTGTTTGTGAAGTGGGAAGATGAGCGGGTCACGTTTACAATTTTTACTTCTGGAAACCTGACGTAATTGCGCTGACAGAGAAACTAAGGCACTCTGTGTGCTCATAGGCATATGATTTATCATAATGTAAAAAATATAAAACTTCCTGTTGTATTCATATGACTTGAAACTAATGAGCCCATAAACCCATCAGGAAGGTGGACAGTGGCAGTGAGAGCTCTTTGCCATAGATTTCTATACAACCTGGTTGTTCTTTTGCAGTGACAAGAATCACCCCTATCTCACCGTTACAAAGGATGCAGGCTTAAGATACAACTACACTGGTTTCACTTTTCAACCATGAGTTATGTCCATCATTTATAAACAGTATATGTGAAATAAGTATAAAAGAAACCTCATGTCAATTTTGGATAAGCTTTTAACATCTGTCCACAGAGTCACAAAGGAAATTGAGCTTATCCCAGCTGTTGAGCTGTTGCTAGTGAGAGGCAGGGTACACCACGAACAGGTCACCACTCTACAGCCAATTGAAAATAACCGAAGTTATTCTGAATTTCCTCACAGTCTTTGGCCTGTGAGAGGAAGCCAGAGGTCCAGCAAAGAACCCTAACAGGCGCAGGTAGAACTTGCAAACTCCAGAAAAGCCCCAGACCATGTTCAATCCCAGGACTTTCCTGCTATAAGGTAACACTGCTAACCACCACACCACCATGCTGCTCACACAATAATGAATAAAAAACTGCACACATTACATTTCTGAAATTTCATGAATTTTCATCTAACATGTGCCAGACTGTACTCATTCTCATATGACCCATTAGATTCTGAATTCCCATTCCCATGAAAATTTTCACCATCTCCATCTTGATATTTTTTTAAGGAGTGGGTTTAACTGTGAAAACTGCATACTTATTGGTTAACGACTTGTCAGTCACACTGGTGGCCATTAAACATGAATGCAGGGTTAAAGAACTTTTTCCCTGGCTACACGTAAAACCACAAAGCTAAATCCATCCTTACTTTTACAAAACTAAACTATCTCAGTATATTTAAGTACATTCCATAGATGGTATAATATATAAGTAACGAAAAAGCAGTTGGATGTGTTGTGGTGGTTGGCATCTCACACACTGTGGTTGAAACTAATTTTGTGCCATCTGAAAACTTGAAGGTCATGCTTTTTTTTCCAGGTAAGGCGGGCATGCTAATTTGTGCAGCTTGCATCAGGTCAGATTAGTAAATAGAAATCTCTCTTCATTCTTGTTGCTCTTCAGCAAAAATCGTTTTTCTTCTTATTAAAGGCGGACATTTATTTAGTATCTGCACAGAATTTTCTTGCATGATAAATGAAATTCATGTGTTTTTTTCACGTGTTTTGAAAGTATTTTACTTTGCTGTTTACCACAAACAGAGCAGTACTGCATTTTTTTGTTCATTCATTCTCAGCAGAAATAGGCTGTCATGTGAATGAATTGCTAGGTGATGATGACATTTTCTTCATCCTCTGAATCAAGAAAAGCAAAAATGTTGATTCATCTGTGGTTGCCTTTTCTATAGGTTGTAATGGCTTTTCCCTCTCAGAGCCAAATCACACAAAATATGATTAAAATATGATTTTATACATTTCAAAGAACTTAAAACGATGTGAGGTAGGCCAGGGTTATTCACTTCAATCAACGATGTGTAAAAGTTGAACTCAGGAAAATGTCCAAAATCAAAGAGGAATAAAGGAATATTCTAACTCAG